AGCTCATCATAATGTTTGATCGCAACCAAACAGTGGACCGCAGCCCAAGAGTAGTCATCTGACCGCAGCCAGGAATATGAACCGTAGCTCATGTAAAACGTTTGATCGCAACCAAACGGTGGACCGCAGCCCGAGAGTGTAAATCTGACCGCAGCCAGCTTTTGAACCGCAGCTCAGGAATAACCAATTTGATCGCAACCAAATTGGGGTATCATGCACACATAACACATAGCAAGCACATGCAGCCCACATTAACACATTAGGAACGAGGAGAAAACGTATAATAAAACCTATGCGTGGTCATCCATATACTAGGAATAATCCTAAGGGGTTCATACTTCCTTCACCTAGGCCCACGGGATACCAATTCACTAGCATGCGATATATAAGACTCATTTATCCTACGAATGGTACCCGAAACATCAAACTAGACATAGGCACGATGGACGGAGTCTGTTGGGACACCACGGGGGTCGGGGGAACAACAAACGGGGAAGCCGGGATCCCGAAGTGGGAGAATTTCCAGCGGGTAGCCGGTGGGTGAAGGGTCACCTGCCGGCTGCCCGCCGGCGACGTGATTCCGGGCAGCGGGTGCCCGGCGGGCAGTCGCCTGCCCGCCGGCTGCCCGTTGCCGGCGATGTCCGAACTTGGCCGCGGGTAGGTGGCGGGTACCCTACCCCCCACTGACGCCCCGGGAACCTTTGCGGAACCCGAAACCATGCTTAGACACCTTTAAACGTTATTGACGATAACACGTAGACAGTTAACGGATCCAAAAGCAATAAACATACGACACATACCTATCATGCTTTCTAAACATAATTAACACCCAAACATATGAATTCCCACCCAATATATCAAGAATAACACATACGAGTTTCACGATACATCCTAGGACTCTAATTATATTTAAATCATCAAGAACGTGATTCATCTTTTAACACTAAGAAATAATACGATTTATCAAGAATATCACACAATCATTAGGAATCTAGGTTTATCAAGAATTTCACCCAATCATCAAGAATCTCTTTCCATCATCAAGATTATCAAGATTACCCAAGAAAGCATAACATCAATTATCAAGATCACACCATCAATATCATAAACGAATCATCAATACACAAGAATATAGAGGGATGCCTGGAGGGAGATCATAGCTAAGAAAATAGGTTTTGTTGAGACATGGGTTACCTCTTAGCCTTAATTAATTCCTTGGCTATGAAGGGTCTTTCTTTAAGCTTTCTTCTTTCTTGATTTCTCCTAAGGGGATTCTTGGAACTTCTTGTGTGGTGAGAGATTATTGTGGTGTAAGATTTAGGTGCCTCCTATGATCCTATATATATATATATATATATATATATATATATATATATATATATATATATATATATATATATATATATATATATATATATATATATATATATATATATATATATATATATTCCTAAGAGTCATAATTGGGGTCTAAATACTATGGGCTTGCTAATTCCATTCCTTATAGGACTAAGGACTTGTTTTAGGGATAAGGGTCCGTGGTCCATAGTGGACCATATTAATTAATTAAAGAGAATCCTAATCATAATCTGAATAGTAAAAGGCCTACTTCCTTTATTCCTAATAGATAACTAGGTCTAGGATTCCTAATTAGAATCTGAATAGTAAAAGGTTTACTTTCTTTATTCCTAATAGGCTTAAGACTCTAATTTAGGCAAGGCTCCACGGTTCATGGTGGACCTTATTAATTAATTAAAGGGAAACCTAACCGAATTAAATCATATTTAATTATTATTAACGGGATTAATTAAATAATTAATCCGGGATTGAAGGCCGTAACACGGGGAGTTACACCCCCGGCCTTATTGCGGTTCCAACCTTTACCTCCGAGTGCCACCCTATACTTCCAAGTCCAACCTTTTGCCTTCGGGAGCCATCGTTCCTCCTCCAACAATCGCCAAACAAAACCGCTGAAAGCACTGTACACAATGTACATTGCAAGATCATATCACAAAACCGCAAAACCTTGTGAGTTGTACTCACGATAACAAACCACCAAACTCAATTCATGGCCACCACGATGACCACATCTGTACCTTGGTGAATAATGTCCCATACCATTAATCGTGCAATCCAGGTACATCCAACACACACGTTCATCATAGGAATCAATCAGCGGATCACAACGAAGATATGAAACCATACTCAATCAAAGAAGGACTATAATCCAACACCAACGATTGTCAACACAAGTTGCTACCCCCCAATAAGAAAGAACAAACCACACACGTTAGCATTTCAACATCAAACTAGCATGCTTATCAAACGGGTAAATCAAACATAGTTCCGAAGAACATACAAGAGTTATCACGGTTCAACGAATCACAAGGTTTAACACTTAGCACGATTCAAGACACCAAATCCTACATAGATTCTTACCATTACGTCTAGATATATGAAACATCAAGAAGACACTCAAATAGTCCGACAAAAGAACATCGGGGAGACAAAACATCAATTACCGAGTCAAACGAATCACGAGAAACAAATCCCCAAACATCACCATTGTGTGTTCCTCGCGGGTGGGGCTATGGGTGGACCTCCACCCGTGGTTCCGCCCGCGGGAACCACTCCCACAACCACACGTACCCCGCGGGTGGGGCGGCGGGTGGTGCCCTACCCGCCGTTCCGCCCACGGGTACACAACTGTACCAAAATTAATCCCTTCGGGGATTTTCAACCCCAAGCTCAAATTCAAGTCCAAAACACCCAAAATCTCACAAAATACAACAATATGACTTGAATCAAAGGAATATCCAAGCAATGGCATACAAGAAACCTAATAACAAGCTCTAGATATGTATTCTCACAAGACAATATATCAAATCTCACATTTCATAGCAAAACTCACATGTATAATAAATCATCATATAGGTAAGTAAAATAGATTTTGTAAAGCATGGGTTACCTCTTGTAGCCTACAACTTCACTTATCACACCCTTATAAGCTTCTAACAAGGCTCTCCTTCAACTTCTACTTCACAAACACACCAAAAGGCAACAAAGATTCTATCTTTAGAAAAAAGACACCTTAAAAGGTACTAAAAACACTAAAGGACCAAAGATCTTACCCTCCTATATGCTCAAGAGTAAGAAAGGTTGAATCTTGGAGACCAACTTGAAGAGTCTTGAATTTCCCAAACTTGGCTTGAAGAAGAAGCTAGCTAAATTCTAGAGAGAAGGAGGAGCTTTTCTTTTTAGGGTGTTAGGGAAAAGAATGAAAGATGACTCTAGGTTAGCTTGGAATACAATCATAAAGTGAAAAGTCTTCTTTACCGTTATTAAAATGAAAAATTGTAAGGAGACAAGGGAACAATTCTTTAAGCTTAGAGTACAACTCCTTGACTTGGGTTGACTAGTCAATTTCTAGTTCCTGACTATTGAATTTTCAGGATTTTAGGAATTAAACTATCAATTAAGCTAGGATTAATTACTTAATTAATCCTTAAATGGAATTCGGATTTACGGGGTGTCACACTACCCGTGGCCCCACCCGCGGGGAACCATTATTGTTGGTGCGGGGATTTGTACCCTGTGATTCTTTTCTTCTTGGTGTTGATGTTTTGACCTCCCGTTGCTTGATTATTGGGCTCTTTGTGAGTCTTCTTGACGTTTCGTATCTCTAAAACGATGTGTTAGGAATCTATGTTAGGATTTGGTGTCTTGAATCGTGCTAAGGGTCCAACCTTGTGATTCGTTGGGCTAATATGAGTCTTGAAGGTTCGTTTTAACCCTTTTGGTTTATCCTTTTGATGAGCATGCTAGTGTGATGGTTATATGCTAGTATGTACAGTTTGTTCTGTCTTGTTGTGGGTTGGCAAATCGCGTTGCTAACCATTTTGATGTTGGATTGTAATCCTTGATTGTTGAGTATTGTCTCATGACTTTGTTGAAATCCCTTGGTTGATTCTTATAGTGTATTCTTGTACAAATTGGTGTACCCTTTGTTGATACTTGATTAGGGCTATTGATGAGCCTTAGTCCTCTTGATGATGATGACTATGTGTGACTATGAATGAGATTGGTGGTTTTGTTATTTGAGCTTTGCTCACTTGAGATCGGTGGTATATGACTATGAATTGAAAAGTACCCTCATGTACTATTCTGATTGGTGGTGTAGATTGGTGGGGGACGACAGTCCCAGACCGGGAAAAGGTTGGACTCAGAAGTACAGGGTGGCACTTGGAGGTACAGGTTGGAACAGTGATAAGGCCGGGGTAGCCATAAGGGTGGCACTATGGTATAAGGTTGGAACTTGAAACATGAATGTGTCATTATGTGATTGTATGATTCCCTTGCTTACGAGCATGTGTTTGATGAACTCTACCTTGTGAATGGTAGGTTGCATCTAGAGTTATGTTGTCCCTTGTTGTTGTGGTTTGTTGTCTTGTTGAGGTTGATGATCCTCGTTCTTATTGAGAGTGTGATGAGTCTTTGATGTTGATCTTCTTCTAGTTTTGAAATGACTATATATTGTATTCCTCAGTTCCAAATGGCTTTGATTATATCTATTTATACTATGCTATTTAACGTGTATTGATGGGTTACCAGCATTATTCGCTGACCGCGTGTTATCCCTATGTTTTAAAGGTCTTGAGTAGATGACGAGCGCGCTAGATGTGGACTCTAGATAGTGTAGCTCCTGTTCTTAGATGTTGTCCTGTGTGCCTAGATTAGTTGCCTGTGTGCCTAGACTTGTTATGCTTAATGATTGTGATAGATTTAGCCTGTGCCCCCATGGTTTATGGGTGCGGCATAACACCTTTCCCGGTTTTAATAGCTTCCACTTTTGATTGCCTTAATGATTAGTTGTTTATCGTTTGAATTTAAGTTTTAAAATGTTGGTAAAATCGGGGGTGTTACACAGTGGTTTCAAAGTCTTACGACTAACTTATAAAGGAGGCGATGAGTATAACGACCGTCAACGACGTTGTTTCGCCATGTACTTGTTTCTGCCGGATGCCGTGGATGGACTGCCATCTTTGCTGGATAAAGCGAGCTCTGTATCTGGGTTTCTAGAATGCCACCTCCCTACCTATATGGTTTCAACTGGCAAGTTTCTGATCCCAAAATTCCAAATATCTTTCCAGCTTGAAGGTTCAAAAGATATGAAGGAGCTTGGGGTGGTGGCGCCGTTCAACCCCAGTGGTGGCGCTCTTGCTGAGATGGTGGATTCATCGGAGAGCTCCGATCTCTATGTTTCAAAAATCTTGCAGAGATCATTTATTGAGGTTAATGAGGGAGGAACAGAAGCCGCAGCTGTTTCATGTGCTCCACCGGCGGTTGGATCAACTTGCATGGTAGAGAAAGAAGATAAAATAGACTTTGTGGCTGACCATCCCTTCTTGTTTGCCATTCGAGAAGAATTTATTGGTGTCATTCTCTTGGTTGGGACTGTGCTTCATCCTCATTATAACTCAAAAACACTGTCTTCAAAAATCCCACAAGCCTCGCGGCCCCCTTTGTTCTGGCGGCATCCTCCCGGATACTCTCCCAGATGCTCTGTCAAACCTGAGCTTAAGGAGCTATTAAATGAGTATTTTATATATTTTAGAACTAGAAACTGAAACTTTAGTCATGAGCAAAGAATATATTTAGTGATAATTCAATTATTTGTAACGTAAATGTTGCCTTTCATTTACTATCAACCAGCCGACCAGGCAAATTTAATTTAGTCCTATATATAGACACCAAATCAATCACTTATTGGTGGTAGAAATAGTTCTTATGGAATCAAATTTTCCACTTTAACAATAATTGTCAATTGATCGAGGACACTAAATTCTATATATCAGTATAGTAATTAGTGAATAATCTCATCATGAAATCCACAAGTAGATTTCTCAATTTTGTTTCAAAAAAATATGTAATCATGCATCTACATATGTTTAACATATTGGACTATTAGTAATGAGACTGCATTATATATGTTTTTTGAGCTATTAATCCACTTGACCACCCTATGAAATCACATTCATTACCTCATTTTAAAGTTCAAACTCTGATATTACCAATATAATAAAATTATATGCATATTTTTATTATAAGGGAAGAAGATACGCACATATACAAACTACTACATCAGATGTTACCATAATCGCTTCCCACATAGAGAGGCAACTTGGTACCAGTAGACCACAAGGTCCTTCATAAAATTATATGCATATAATCATAAACAAATTCAAATTCCAAAACTCTAAATTATTTGCATTTGTCTAAAGTCTAATAAAATGTACTCCGTATGAATTATTATCATTATTTATGGTTCACAATTATGACTATTAATTATTTAAAATATATATTCTCATTGTGTATTATATCACTTGAATGGATAAAGTATGAATAATCTATATACTCAACGTGAAATATATACCCCCATCAAATTCGCAAATTATGCCGTGGAAATGTGTTCACCATGCTTAGTGAACACGCTTCCAAACGACGTCGTTTTTGGTGTCTTTTTAAAAAAAAAACAAAAAAAAAAACACACTGTTCTATTAACGGCGTTAGCACCGAGTTTGAAGGCAGTTCTGATTTGGCAGTTTCACAATTCTTTGCGGTTGATTTGATCCGACATTCGCGATTTTTTCCTATTCGCGATGGAGGAGACTTCGGTTCGAGGAGAAGATTCCACCGATCTGATTTTTGCGATTCCAGGTTCGTTCGATTTTATGCGTTTGATTTCGTTTGATTTATGAGATATAGCATGTTGAAGATTTAGTTGTTTTTATTGGTATTTGTTCAGTATCTATGCAGTTTGAATGTTCATAATGTCGTAATTGTGTATTAGTACCATGTTCCTGTTATGAATTTTACAATATGAGATTATGTATTTTCTGTTACGCAATTATGAATTTTGATACTCTGTTCATGCATGTGGTATGAATATTCATAATGTAATAGTACTATGTTCATAACATATTAACTGGTATGTTACACTGTTTGCATATACTCAGTGAATGAAGACTTTGTTGGTGATTCAATAAGCACTGATCAAGCAGAGTTAAACATTGACATTGTTGGCTCGTCTTCAAGTCCAGGTTCTTTTTATTAGTTTGTGTATCATGAATGTGGTTTCTGGTAGTTGTAGGTACTGATTCATGGTGATTATATGCAATTTGAATGTCAGTAATGTTGTGATTGGTATTAATACTCTGTTCATGTTATGAATTTACAGTTTTGAGGTTATGAATTTTCTGTTATGTTGTTATGAATTTTCTATATGAGATTATGAATCTTATGTTATGAGATTATGAATTTTATGCTATGAGTATATGAATTATGTGTATCTGTTATTGATGGACAATATGTTCTTTATGTAGAGCATGGCTGGATTTATTCGGCATTTCCCGTCCCCCCTCTACTTAAATGAAGAATATATTTCCATCAAACTTATTTCTGTTATGATATTATTCACTATCTACGCAACTTTGAATGTCCATAATGTCACAAATGTTATTGATACTGTCTCTGTTATGAACTTTCTGATATGATATTATGAATTTTATTCTGTGTGATTATGAATTTTCTATTGTAGCATATTATATTCATTATAGGTGAACTGCACATTCATATTTTAGTAGTTGGTATAGGTGTGGTTATATTTTTGTTGCAATTGCAGTTGATGAAGACTTGGTTGGTGTTGTAGTAAGCAATGGTGATGAAGCTTTTGAGTTATATAATGGATATGCATACAGAGTGGGTTTTAGTGTGAGGAAAGGCCAACAACGTTATAAGGCATCTACTAAGTCAATTCAGATGAAGAGGTTCTTCTGTGCTAAGGCTGGGTATAATGAGAAACCAAATAGTGGTGTTAAGCTTTATTCAAAAATTGATACAAGGACTGGTTGTGATGCACTTGTTCAGTTTGATGTGGGGGGTGATGGGATGTGGACATTTACAAAACATGTGAAAGAGCACAATCATGAGTTATGTTCATTTGGCAAGAGTCATCTGCTCCTTTTGGATAAAAGAGTGGGAAATAATCATCTTGAATATTTAAAAGATATGAAGAATAGTGGTGTTGCATTGGCGGATGGTATGAGGTTTTTGAAACATCAGTCATGGGGTTCTCCATTGGTTGGCTTTACCAACCGCGATGCTTACAATTCGATGGCTTCTGAGAGTTTGAAGTGTTTGGATGGAACTGATTCCAATTCTTTGATTGAAATATTCAAGAGGAGGCAATCTAATGAGGCTGATTTCTTTTTTGATTTTGAAGTTGATTTGGATGGAAGATTGTGTAGTTTTTTTTTTGGAGGGATGGTCAAATGAGAAGGGATTATGAGGTGTTTGGTGATTTGTTAGTGCATGATACAACATATCGCACTAACAAATATGATATGATTTGTGGTCCTTTTGTAGGGATGAACCATCATTGCATGAATGTAATGTTTGGATGTGGGTCTTTGATGAATGAGAGGATAGAGTCATTTGCGTGGTTGTTTAAAGCGTTTTTAAGATCCATGGATGGCAAGTGTCCACAGACTATCATGACGGATCAATGTTCAGCTATGGCTGCTGGCATTTCTATGGTGTTTCCTACATCACGCCACCGTCTTTGCGTATGGCATATTGGTGAGAATTCGAAGAAGCATATCAAGGCATTAAGGAATCATAAGGATTTTCTAGATATGTTCAATTGTGTGTTGGAATACACCGAGACTGAAGCTGAGTTTGAAGTTTATTGGACAAGGTATGTTATTATTTACTTTGTTCATTAGGTACAGTATCATATATTGGTATGTTTAGTCATTTATTCTGTGTATTCAACAGGGGATAAAAATTATGAATTTACATTATACAATTCTGAATTTTCTGTTATGTCATTATGTATTTTCTGTTATATGATTATGAACTTTCTAATATGAGATTATGAATTCACAGTTATACAATTCTGAATTTTCTGTTATGTCATTATGTATTTTCTGTATGTCATTATGTATTTTCTGTTATATGATTATGAACTTTGTAATATGAGATTATGAATTTTCAGAATATGCTTAGTAAACATGTGTTTTAACTTTTTCAGGATGGTTACAAAATATAAGTGTCATAAGAATACATGGCTAGAGAAGCTTTATGACTGTAGGGAGAAGTGGTGTCCAGCGTTCAACAAGGATTATTTCTCCGGGGGTATTTTATCTTCTCAAAGGAGTGAAACTGCAAATCATCCAATTTCTAGGAGGTTGTCCAAGACTGCTGGTTTATGTGATTTTTATTCATCCTTTGTGAGTCTTATTTCTGAATGGAGAAGTAAGGAAAATGGTGAGGATTTCCGGTGTTCTCAAGGAGTACCTGCCATGATGATGGATCATGTGAAACTTCTTTCACATGCTAGAGAGGTTTATACGATTGAGATATATTTTTTGTTCGAGGAACAATTTATGAAAGGTAGCTCTTGTTATCAAGAAATGGTGTTGAATAATGGATGTAAGTGCAAGTATCACGTGTGGCGACCAGACATAGATATCATAAGGCATGAAGTAACTTTTAAGCCAATCAATTTGGATATATGCTGTAGTTGCAAGCTGTTTTCAGAATTGGGAATACTTTGCTGCCATTGCTTACGTATACTTCATGTGCACTGTGTTTCTAGTATTCCCGATAAATACATTCTAAAAAGATGGACTAAAAAGGTTGTTGAGGGTAGAAATGTGGACATTGCATCCGTGTTTTATAATGGTGGTGTCCCTTCTTCAATTTGGGCTGTTGAGATTAGTAGGAAATTGCAAAGGCTTATTGTTTGTAGCCAAGATAACAGTGTTGCTAGACAATTCTGTGATGAAGCTGTTGAGAATGCAAGGAAAAACATTGAAGCAGAGATTGAGGATGTGAATATTGAAGAGGGTGCTGTGTCTTCGTCAAGTGGTATTGTCCAAGACCCTTCAAGCCGGAGGAGTAAAGGTGTGAGAAATAAAAGGAGTAGTAGTGTTATTGAGAAGAAGTACAATGCAGCAAGGGGGAGAAAGAGTGCTGCAAACAAGCTTGCTTCAATTACAAATTGCTCTGTCCAATCATTGGTCTTGGAAAATATTTCAGAGATTGCTCGTGATGGATATCTCGTACATCCAAGCTTTGGGGGTTCACAATTTGTTCATTTTAATAAAAATGTAGACCACAATGTAGATATAGATTGAGATTGTGTTAATAGAACTTCATATGTTTAGCAGTGATGTGATGAATACTATGCAAAATATTTAGATTTGAACTATATAGTTGCAATATGTTTGATGTGTACATCTGCAGTTTTGCATTATATGTGTCAAATTATGAATTTTCATTTATGTGATTATGCATTTTCCTTTATGTCATTATGAATTTTCCTTTATGTCATTATGAACTTACAGTATGTACTTATGAATCTTATGATATTTAGATTGTGAATTATATGTGTCAGATTATGAATTTTCCTTTATCAGTTTATGAATTTTCCTTTATGTGATTATGAATTTTCCTATATGTGATTATGAATTTACAGTATGTACTTATGAATTTTATGCTATTTAGATTTTATGAGAATTATATGTCAGATTACGAATTTTCCTTTATTTGATTATGAATATTG